TCATTGGCACGTCTGCTATAACGTCGCCGATGAAAATAGTATCGGCGCGATGGGGTTTGCAGTACACGCTCGTTAGACATCCCGAGATAGTATTGTGGACTCTATCTGATGAAATTATTGTGAAAATCTCATCTTTTCTCTATCTCGTGAGATCGGAGCGGCGTCAGTGACCCGATCATACATCGATTAGCAATACACCTCTCTGTAATTAGGTGGCCATAATAATGGTAATTGTGTGCTCTCTCTTCCTCAATTCCTCTCGGAAATGAAATCTCCAGGTTCTCCTGGTCACTTGACGTTGCTTAGAGTCTCATCTTGCAATTAGTCTCCTATAAGTCATGTCTACCTTGCTATAATCACTCTACTATTCTATACTGCATCGTTTCGTTATCAACACGTCGGGTATATTACTGTATATCCTATATGTGTGTATGTGTGTGTGTGTGCATGTGTGTCTGTGTGCTGTGTGTGTGTGTGCAGTGTTCTTTTAACATGCATCATAGTTTTTATGAACACTGAGTTGGTTCTAATATTTGTAATTAATCTGCGTAAAAAATAAAATGCGCATTGCTAGGAGTTAGTGTTATTAACAGTTATAAAAACTAGAATCTGTTTCTGATGTTTTGCGCAGGTTACTAGACGAACATTGTCAGCGATAGGGAATATGGCAGAACATATAGTAGACAGCAGATAGGGGGATACAGAATAAACGCGTAAAGAGTTATTATAGTGATATACGACTTGTATAGTGTGTTGATGAGAGAGAGAGATGAGTGTGTAAAAAGTAGAGAGATGAGAAGAAGAGAGATTATGTTATATACTGAGTAGAGGGCGCGCATCTGTTAGGTAGGTCGAGGCGATATAGAACTAAAGCGTTATTACCAGGCGGATGGTCGATAATTGTGGCCGAACTCATTCTTCACACACGCCATATTGCTTATCTCGTTGCTCTCTGAGTTGCTAGTGGTTCTATGCCTCTCTCGTCTATATATATTATAAAGATCATCTTATTCTGTTCCTACATGTTGATTTCAGCACTATTAATCCCTGCTCTTACGCACAACAATGCGCTTCATGTCCTGATGCTTTCGAGTCAGATGACACGTTACACGCGCTCACACAACTCTCTAATCACCGCGCGCGCTCGAATCTAAAATTCATACGGCTGCCAAAAGTTTGTATTCGATCTGTAATACAATTGCATAAAACAAACGCTGATAGCCGCCTCACCAAGAAGCACATGGGCAGCGAAGAACAAGGTGCGACCTGCAGCTACACCTCCATCACACACGCATCTATTGAGCTAATTATTACTAATATAGTAAATATTCATATTATCATATATATATATATATATATATATTATCTATAATATATTGAATATTGTTTCATATATATCTCGTTTCAGTCTTCACTCTCTCATACTCATGCCGTCCTGATGTTTGCTGATAGCACTCTGCCTATCTCGATGTCGCACATTAGTTCTCTTGCTTCTCTCCAGTGTCGAGATGAGCTACTGTGTCGCGCAAATTTCTGCGACTCTCTCCGCGTCCACCTATCTTCCCTCCTTCGCACTTTCAAAAGACAGGCCACGAACGAAGCACTACACACAAGCAACATCTCATTCTCGATTCTCTCTCTCTCTTCACATCCGCACACACACCACCACACACACCACACCACACCTGCTGTGGTGTGTGTGTGATGCTCGTACCATCACCTCACTACACTACTCTATAATCTTCTCTCTCCTTTTAATATAATTTCCCTTTCCCTCTCATCCGCTCTCTAATGCGTTTACGTCACCGCCCTCGCGCGCCTCCACTATGCATCTAAGACACACGTGCCGTTCTCCATTAAGCAATCCGCAATTCCGCGTTGATCTGTCATTATACCTCATCCATTCTCCACTCCTTCTGGCGTAGCCGCGTCTCTCTGCGCGTACATACAACATACACAACACCTCTGCTCTCCACTTCATTATCTCACGCAATGATCGACACTATTCGTCTATCAGTATTTACGTCCTTGCGTGCCCCCCGTATTGACTGCAGCACAAATTTCAACCGTTCCGCGTTCACGCGCTTTTTAAAGGCTAACATAAGGAAGCCGCTCATCCGAAAGCTTGTAATAACACACTCACGCGCGCGCACGCGCACGCACAAGTCTCTTCCCGTCTCTCTCAACGTTCACACACCACTCCACACACATCACTGCTCACACATCACACCACACACCGCACATCACCATCTACACCACCGCACACACACTCTCGCCACTATACATCGCTATCACCACACACGATCACCTGTTCTCTCTCCCTCTTCGTCTCTGTCTCTTCTTGTCTCACGTCTCACCCGATCTCTCTCCTCGCCCCTCGTGTGGTTGTGTGTGTGTGTGCTGGTGTGTGTGTCATCGATGTCCGTCATCCTCTCTAATCTTCTCTCTCCTTTATATATATATTACCTTTCTCGCTCTCTCTCTCTTTTATCTATTAATCACCCTCGCCACACAATCCTCACCACACACATTGCGAGCTTCAGCGCACCACGAGCAATGCGTTCGGTGCATCGTCAATCCCCACGAATTTAATCATATATATCTCGTCATTCTCATCACACCATGGCTCTGCTCTCATACTCTCTCTACGCACGGCACCATCACACACAGCGCGTGCATAACATCCACCGCCCGTCGTCCCGGCTACATACAACACTGCGTGGGCCACACAACTCAGCAGCGGCATCATCCTGCACACATACACAACACAATCGTCGTTGCCACACACACACCACGCGCACACGCGCACACTCCAAGTTGCACGAAACCGCAACGCTACATCGCACAGCGCCACAAGTCGCACCCCACTCTACGTCTCACCGTCCACACACCCTTCTCCTGTGGTGGGTGTGGTGTCAGCTAGCGACATCGTCGACGTAGCGTGGTCAGGCTCGCGTGTGGTGGTCTGCACCGTGGACGCGCGCGCTCACGAATTCACAGTAGTCAGCACACACATGTGGTGTGCTGTGTCAACACATCACCACACACAGACACACACACACCTATGCGTATTTCTCTCGGTCCTTGTTATATATTTCTCGTTTCTCCAGCCGGGGTACCGGACCACATCACAACACAGACACACACACACACACCACACACACCACACAACACAGCCCACACACACACACAACACACACCACACACACACAACAAAAAAAAAATTACCCCCCCCACACACACCACCGGACACCGATGCCGCACAGAGCCATGAAGGCACGCCCCGATCACAGGCGGCTCTCCCGATCACAGGCACGCCCATTCATTATGCAGGTGAGGAAGATCGCTATGCGGTCTACGACATCGGCTGGCCGACGCCGCCGACGTCAACGCCGCCCTTTGTACTCCTGCGGGCAGGCACCCGAATCCCGCGAACGTGAACGTGCTCATCATGCATGCTGACCCAGTTCGGCCTAGCTTTTTTCTCCGTTAAAAGCGCGCCGCTGCCTGGCGGGTTACCCCACTCTTAATCAGTGCACCGGTGAAAGTAACACACTCGCTCTTTCTATTCTCGGACACACGCCCGAGAAACAACAGCGTCCCCTGTGTGAGCGTGTTTGTGGCAAAGCGAGAGCAGTGCAGACGAGAGAGCGAGAGCAGCCAAACTGTGGCCCCCCTACCGCGCGTGTTTTCCGTGAATCTGGGCTAATACGGTGACCCGTAAGAGCCGGTATATATAAGAGATCAGTGCGAGTCGACGGCGACGTTATTCTGAGTGGTGAACTGAGCGAGACTAGAGAGCTGTGACTATAGATTCTACACACATAGTACAGTGACACATGTGAGTTACGCAATATATACTAACTTACTAAGATAGTGAGAGAGTGAGAGAAAGAGGCAGAGAGATAACAGCAAGAAATTTATATATATATATATATATATATATATATATATATATTGAATATTGTTATATATAGGTTTAGTCAAAAGATGCGTGTGTGCTGTAGCTGCAGGTGCTCACTTGTTCTCTTGCTCCCAGTGCGAAAGAGCTATGTGTCGACATTTCGACCCCCTATCTCTCCTGCATTTCAAAGCAGGCACGAACGAGCACACACACACACACACACACACACACACACACACACACACACACACACACACACGTGCGCGCGCGCATGCACGCACCCTCACTAACACGCGCACGCATCCTCACTCACGCGTACACATATACACACACCCACTTCATTATCTCACCAATGAATCGACACATCTCTATCATATTTACGCTTGCGTGCCCCCGTATGACCTGCAGACAATTTCACCGTTCACGCGTTCACGCTTTTAATAGGTTACATAAGAAAGCGCTCATCGAAAGTTGTAATAACACACTCACGCGCGCGCACGCGCACGCACACACACACACACACACACACACACACACACACACACACACACACACACGCACAAATACAAAGGTTATCGGTACTTTCCACGTCCTCAGCAGTAATAGATAGATAGATAGATAGATAGATAGATAAACTCACGCGCACGCGCACGCGCACGCGCACACTCGCACACGCGCATACACATACACATGCACATACCAATACACAAACGCGCCTGCGCACGCAAGCACGCACGCACACGTGTAATAATAACAATAACAATAACAATAACAACTATAACAACAACAACAATAACAATAATGGTTTTCCATCGGCAGGAAAGTTCCAGTTACCACCGACCATCTTCGGGAGGCGACGGCGAGCAGACGAGCTATGGCGCCACACCCTCGTACTCCCCCGTCAGCAACTACAATCCCTACAGCAGTAGCAGAAGCAGCAGCGGCGGCGGCGGCTATAGCGGACGTGGCGTTACCTACCGTAGCCGTGACGGTTCCTACGCGTCGCAACCGTCGTATTCCTCCTCCCAGAGCTACCAAGCTCCCGCGACAACTTACGAGGCTTCGGTCCCTACATACCAGGCACCGGCACCTACATACCAGCGACCGGCACCTACATACCAGCCTTCGCCACCTACATATCAGGAATCGGTCCCTACATACGAGGCCCCAGCGCCGCGATACGAGACCGCTACGTACGAGGCCCCAGCTCCGGTGTACCTCGACGTGCAGCCAAGCTACGGGCAGCAACAGCAGCAGCAGCAGCACAACGGCTACACGAAGAGTCCCGAATATTTCACAACGACGAAATACGGTCCCATCGAGAGCGGGGCTCTCAGAGGGCAAGGACAGAAAAGCAGCGCGGTAGAGTTCGCGAGGCAAGGGCAGGCTAGTGGCACGCTCTACTCCGCAGACACCGCAGAAGCCGCCGAGGCGGCAAAGAAAAGCCGAGGTTACGAGTATCGGTACAGGTGAGTGTGGGCACGATGGAGATACGTCCGTTAATATCATACACTCTCCCGCTCTCAATCTCTCTCTCTCTCTCTCTCTCTCTCTCACTCTCTCTCTCTCTCTCTCGTTCTCTTGTTCTCTTTCTTTCTCTCTGTTGTCCCACCCGCCTCTCCCTTATTACTCTCACTTTCACTTCCTCTTGCTTCCTCTTTCCTCCTATCGCGCGCGCGCTTTCTAATCCAGCTCTCTCTTCCCTCTCTCTCTTCATTTTTCTCTCTCTCTCTCTCGCTCTCTCTTCTCTCTTCATTTCTCTCTAGTTATTCTATATAGCTAGCCGCATCAGGTTATTGGCGCAAGAAATAACCACCGTCGTTTTCCATTCTACAGGGAAGGTCACACTACCACACAGCCGAAAACTTTTGTACAATTACGACATTACCGAGCCAATCTGGGGGTTACAAAAGATAAGGACGGCTACGGCAATCGCCAACATGGCGCAGAACGCCGTTACCAATGAAGCCTATAGCCAAAGCAACCAATCGTGATATAAACGTCACGACTGTTGCCGCGACGTCATTGGTCAAAACTTCGCCGTGTTGCCACCCATGCAGACTGAGGAAACGCCACATTAATTATTGCATATAATCAGGGCATTGTCTGTTGTGTTATATCTGAGCTTTATAATATATATATATATATATATATATATATATATATATACAAAAACATGCACATATTGCAAGCAATGTAACTTTGTTTAGCTATTAGTCTTAAGTTATATGGAATCGTATGCTGGTGTTTGTATAAACTCACTGTACATGTATCAAGATGGTCTCACAAACGTTACAATTGTTCATAAACACAGTATGTTGATCATGAGTCGTATGTGTAGCCCTTCCCACACGCCGTACAGTGATGCTCGTACTGCCGAGCTGTTGTAAATATACCTGGTCAGACACTGATTATAGCGGCGTGTACGGTACAACTGATGTGAATCTTCTGTTACGGTTATATATATATAACATTTTTATAGAGATAGGTATAAAGTATACCGCGCGGTGCAGAAACTTTCTATTGTGATAATATCTCAATGACAATGGTAGTTTTTAACTGTCTGCGACTAGTGACTAGCGCTCATAAATCTTGTACGTCCGTTCATATGAACCGAGATCAAAAATTAAGACAGAAAGTCATATATTAACAGTTTTGTGCGAAATTGACTACTTATCAAACCGCGTCGGTCAATATTTACTGTCTGTTTTCTTTCATTTGGAGTTTTTGTAACGGCTAATTATGTATCTTTTATATTTATAATATTGTGCAATATAGAACACTCTTCACACAATGATAAACGTGTTTGAAATATGCGACGCATGTATACAATTTAAAATTCATTAAACGCGACATAATAAACCGTACGTTGTCTTTATTTAAATTATAAGTAATTTAATTTGTACTTTCGCAAGTCAAATTCAACGAGCACGATATAAAGCAGGGATCTAAAGCTTCAGTGCCCATTCTTTACACAAACATGCCCACCTACTTGTTTTATACAATATTATCTTTAATATTAATTACAATTAAGGCACCCGGCACAGGCTTCTCAAATTTCGCTATACTGTGCCATACGCTGTTTATGCTAGCACATGTCCAATATCTGCAAAAACTGATATTATTTAATTTGAATTTATACACTTGAATTAACTTTAAAGCGCATACTTATCATATATATATATGTTGATGTAGGAAATACACGAGCCCTGTCCGCTCGGATCCCATAGCACACAGGGGAGCAATGTGTTTGAAAATACCCAGTATCAACCAACAAATGTTAGAACTTAGAATACATACATTGGATTATTAAGATACAGAGCACATACGCACGATTAACTTACTATTAGAATGTTTATCAATAATGTAGTTCTACCCTCTGGGAGAGGCGACATAGCAGGGCTGTAGATAGGGGTAATATTTTCAAGAAAGAAATCACTTGTAAGATAGGGTTAGGCTGAAGGTATAATTGTGTTTTTGTAAACTGTAACTTTGTTCCATTATCTATTACATTTATTTTTGGAGTTACTTACCGTTATAACCTATATAAACTCATTTTTTGCTTTAAAATGTAGGAATGGCAGCTATAACCCCTTTGTCCACCAACGGGCTATGGTCCTGCTAGCCTTGCAAGAGTATAGCGGGATGCTGCGGTCAAAATGAAATTCCGAAATCGTATTTTACTATGCACATCTTTTTCGGCTGTGCCCCTGTATTTTTTTAAGCAATTAAGATAAGCCGAAAAAAACAGTATAGGCCCCTATTGGGTGTCTAAGGCGACAAGCTAGCTAAGGCGACGAGCGTCACGCGCGCCATTGCTCATGCATGTGCAGTGCAGTAGCCGTCGCGTATTCCTATGGAAGAGGGAAAAAAATCCAAGAATCTTTTTACTAATTATTTCTTATTATGTTATATTATTTTTTTATCCTTATCTTCTTTTATTCTTTATTTTGGGCTATCTACTATTATTGGGTAGGCGGAAAGTTGCCGCTCCTGGATCCGACAGTCACACTGTAAGATCCGCTTTTCATCATTACTCACATCATGAAATTCTGCTGCCCCCTCCCTGCTAAGGCTACGACCCTAAATAGAGTAAAAGATTAATTTGTTACTGTACATGGCTTGCGACAACGTGCAAAATTGTAAATTCCCGCCATCGCTAGTCAGCTGTAATGATTTCTGCTGCGCGCTCCTTGCCGCACATTGCAGCAGGAATTTACTACGTCACGCTTGAACAGCTGCTCTCTTGTCAGTGAGAACAGATTTCGCTGATGGGAGCAAGCATGGCGCAGGGTGGGAAATCAATGGGAAAGATGTTGTCTGGAAATAGCTGGTTTCAACGTTCGGTGACATTAAAGGCGCGATCCAGAGGATGTCATCTTGTGACTGACGAGATAGTGAAAGGCGTGCCCGAACTCACAAAGTTTAAAGTAGGAATCGCGCATTTTTTGAGTAAGTGCTAGTTTTTGCATCTCACGGTGACGGTGTTTGAGAGTTGACTGTGTTGTTGTTCTTCTCCTACTCCTACCCCTACTAGTTCTACTTATTCTTGCTACAGTTATTGTTATGAACAGATATTTGAGACTGTTGATAATGTAGAGTGACTGTAGTATTTCTCTTCTAAGTGGCAAGTCGTTATACGATACAATACATGTGATTTCATTTGTTGACTTCACACAGTCACATTGTGATTGTGTTTTGCATGTACTTTGTAGTACAATTAGCTGTGCAGTGCATGTATGTATTTTATTGTTTATTTACCATTCCAGTCCAGCATACATCTGCCAGCTTGCTACTTAATGAGGTAAGAAATGAATAGTACTAGTAGTGTGTCTACTGTGGACACAGCCCACCCAATAAACTATGCTGCTTCCACATTCCACCTACAAAGAATTTCCAGATCAAGGATGGTTTGGTACCCGCACAATATGTTTTCGCATATATGCTACACTAAAATGGGGTACTAAACTAGGCTTGGGCTGAATTTCCTGCAGAACTGGAGGTACTTGAAATTAAATGATAGAGTAAAATAGTAGGGTTAAAAATTCATTGACAAGGCAAATTTTATGAAATAATTTCACTAATTAACAAGCGATTTTGGCCATCGTAGACGAACATAGTAGATCACATCTGATAAAATTGTATCTGACAGCATGATGCCTTTATGGCAGAAAACTCTCTTCAGTTTGTGAATAGGTTTGTTGTTATTGCGTGAAAATAATTAAGTTCAAAATTTTTTACCCCACTGTTTTACTCTATCGTTAAAGCAGGAAATTATTTTAGGCGGAGGAGGTTGACAAGTACGTGGCAGTTTATTTGGTAGATTGTGTGCATGATGTGACATGCTACCTTAAATAAGTAAGGTTGGGACTAAAGTGGATTAAAACCAGTTATATTCTCCTTGTTCTCACCTCAAATCTATAATTATGAATAAGTTTGAAAAAATGTTATTCTCAATGTTCTTGTGGCTTAGAGTCACCATTTATAACCTAATATATGTGCCTACTGTGAGCACAGGCACTTGAAGCATATCAACTGTAAGCGCACGGCACCGCCATTGCGCGTACACTAACACATATATATAAGAGCAGGTGCGAAAGCGTGCGCCAGGAATTCGCTCGAATGCTGCTGTTGTAATTATTATTACTGTTGTTATTATTATTATTGTTGTTGTTGGTGTTGTTATTATTATTATTATTGTTGTTGTTGTTGTATTTCTTGTTGGCTATGTGTTCATAGGTTTATTACTGTGGGAATACTGTCTTACACGCAGGTGTGGGTGTGGTCATTGTTCGCGCTGTCAACACTGTTACAACGCCACCATGTGACCGACTAACGTATGTACGTGTGTATAGTAACGACACTCACCTCTCTGTATGAAGATAGCGAGCACGTCCGCCGCAGACATGTCGGCGTACGCTTCCCCATCCGTCTCCACGCTGTAGAGGAATCTAGGCAGAGCGGAGGCGGTGTCGAAGGCGCACGCAGATGCCGTGTTAATGACAGCCATCCAGCCGACGTAGTCACACGCGGTGTTAGGCAGAGCACTGCGCAGCTGGAATGCTCGTCCGTCTGCTGCCAGGCTGTGACGGAGCAAGGAGAAGGCGAGCTTGAAGAAGGTGAGCGGGGACGTGATCGAGCGGGGAGAAGGTGAGCTGGGAGAAGGTGAGCGAGAAGAGGGGATGCTTAGAGGTCCTATTATAGTGTTACTTGCAACTATGGCTATCTCTCTTCCATTTGTTTCTCTCTTATGCACACGAGCGATCTCTCTCTCGTTTCTCTCTCTCTCTCTCTCTCTCTCTCTCTCTCTCTCTCTCTCTCTGTTTCCTCCCCTTCTCTCTTTCTCTCTCTTGCTCTCTCTCTCTCTCTCTCTCTTTCTTTCTCTCTATCTGTTATCTTCTTTCTCCCCTCGCTCTCTCGTGATCTCTCTATCTATGTCTGTCTGTTTTGATTCTGCTTACCGTTCCCTGTCTATTTCTTGCACTCTCACTCTCGCTAGCTCTCTCTATCTTGCCCCCCTCTCTCTCTCTCTTTCTTTCTTTCTGTCTCTCTCTCTCTCTCTCTCTCTCTCTCTCGCTCTCTCGCTTCTCAATCCTATTTCTGCTTTTCCTCTCCTTTCCACCTCACTTTTTCTGTAACTTTCTATAAATTTATCAGCACGCATTTATACATATTATCCTTCTATCTGCTTACATTACAAATACATATATATATATATATATATATATATATAGCACATGAGGAGGCAGGTAGTGGGGTGCGTACAGGAGGCAGGTAGTGGGGTGCGTACAGGAGGCAGGTAGTGGGGTGTGTACATGGCATGGAGGAATCACGGAAGCAATAGTAATGTTAGTGAGTACGACCCACACGAGCATTCCGATAACATCCGTATGGCTTTACCGCGACTCAACTGCTGCGATGTTTGTTTTCAGGTGGCAGACGGGTAGTCGTGACGTTGCAGGGTGCCATCACCGACTGACGTGTCCTTCTTCATGTCAGCGGCCCGCCTCGACGCACGAGCGCGGCTCTCCACAGACCATGTCGACAATCACGGCGATTTTTGACGTTTCTCAGCCTCCGTGCCAGCATCTATATATAGCGGCGAGTGGTCGTGTGGCTTCTACATGCGCAGAGCTCACGCGTGGGCAGTTGGGTGGATTGGCTGCAGATGCGAGCGGCATAGCTTGGTCTCATTTATGTTCTTCCTCTTCGTTGTTGATGTTTATGTAGGTGTAGGTTTACGTAGGTACGTAGGTGTGTGCGTGCGTGCGGGTATGTGTGTGCGAGTGTGCGGGTTTGCGTGTATGTGTGTGCGAGTGTGCGTGTGTGCATGTGTGTGTGTGTTTGCGTGTGCGTGCGAGCCTGCGTGTGCGTGCGAGCTCACGTGTGCGTGTACGTCTGTATGCGCGTGTGCATGCGCAAGTGGGTGCTTGTGTACGTGCGTACGCACGCGTGTGTGAGTGCTCGCACGTATATATGCAGCATATATGCACATGCATGCATGTGTGCGTGTACGCGTGTGCTAATGCAGGTATCGGTCATACGTTCGTGCGTGTTCCTCACATATTTTTATGTATGTGTGTGTATGGGACTACGGGTGTGTGTGTGTGTGTGTGTGTGTGTGTGTGTGTTTGTGTGCGCGTACGTGCGTGTGTGCGTGCAGTCTGTATGTGTGTGTGTATGACTGTTATAATCGGCATCTCAGTGCGCTGACAGTGTCAAATTTTGCTTCGGTGTATATATCACTCACGGCACATTGTTTTGATTTGTTGTGCAGCGCGCGAGATTTTTATTTGGAGAATGTACATATATCTGGCAACTGCAATGTGAAATAAATGTCAACACCATAGATGTCTTATAATACATGGTATCAGGAGTGAAAAAAAACGTTTTTACTCGCTCTTAATAGTATTCATGTATATAGACGTCTAGCACGGTTAGCACAATATTGAAACTAATCGCAATATTATGCGTTTTAATCGACTTTCTCAGTCTTACATATTACTCCTACATCTTTCATGGTATTCTGTTGTTGGAAATACATTGCTACAGTAATGAATTCGTCAACTCACGATCGACATGGACTATCACGGCCCAGGCAGATGGTGGCAACGCCGATTTCTGCTCTAAACCGGTGTATTTCGGAAACGGCTAAATTTAACCACTGGTGGATATTGCCTCGAGTTTACCGGTCTGTATAGTGTTTCTCGGCGTAAACGCTAGAAAACGTCAGAGCGGCGTAAGCACACGCGTGCAATATCACAGCAGCAAATAAGACTCGTGTTGCGTTAGACAGTTTCTGTTTTCGCGTTGAGTCGAGATGACAGGTTCGCGAAACCTACCAGCCGAGATGCTGGTACCCGCCTTGCCGGTGTAAGACTCAGCCACCATGCTGTTTCACATGAGGGATGCTAGAGGAGAGGAATGCCGCACATAGCTTACTAAGTAATCCTAAACCAGCCGGTCAGTACGTGCGTGCTACTCTACTACCACACGTACGTAGCTGCAGTATCGACAAGCTAGCGCATGCAGGCACAACACTCGCTATATCACCATTAAGGCTCGTCACTACCGCGCGTAGCCGCCGGTTGTCATTGTGGTAATAATAATAATTATAAAATAAGAAGAAATAGAATAGTAAGAAGAAGAAGAAGATTGCAACACTGGGAACAGCACACATCCTGCGCAAAATTCTGGATTGAATCTCTGTCCTAGGTTGGAACACGGCCAACCCAGAAGCCACCGGCTAATGCCGTGACGGTGATCTACTTTGGAAATAATAATTATAATACAATAGTTATCCATAAACATTTTACACGGATTATCCAGCTAGTTGATGTCTGGTGCAATACAGTCTATAAACTGCACGCGCTAAATAGTAATACGTAGTCATAATAATAATTTATTAACGATCTGGATAGGTTAACTAATATGCAGATAGTTAACGCGTTTAATTTGCTTTTTACATCGGTTACCACACGGTCACTTGGAGCGTTTCAATAAAGTATAATGCTAATTAAAATGCGAAATCTATTTACTATCAAAGTCTTAATGTTTCTCTATTGTCTTTCGCCTATTATTGCCGACAATTTCCTGTAAATGCCGTGCAAATGCTCTTCTGCAACACACATTTACACCGCACGCACGCTGCCGCACACTGACACATACATCTCCAAGTGTCTGTGGGTTCCCACCACTGATCTCTACTATACTAACTTAATAGTTAGTATAGTAGAGATCAGTGGTTGCCACGCATTCCACTGCACCCTTAGTGATGCCAGTCAAGCAGGACAGAGCGCCACTTAGAGACCTTCCTCGTCGACAACACACATTATTAGGCGTAGGAGTTTTGTGTCTAGATGCTTCTTGTGGTGATCTTGTTCCTCTTTGGTTTTCGCCGCCGCATCGCTCCACCGCTCCTCGTCGCTCTCCTCCTCCTCCTCCTCCTCCTCCTCCTCCTCCTCCTCATCATCATCATCGTCCTCCTCCCCATCCTCTCCTCCTTCGCCTTCGCCTTCTCTTTCACCTCATCCTCTTTATGCCTTATCCTCACCTCTTCGCATTTCTCCGATCCTTCTTCTCCTGTACTTCCACAACCTCCTCCTCCTCCTCCTCCTCCTCTTCCTCTTTCTCCTCCTCCTCCTCCTCCTCCTCTTCTTCCTCCTCCTCTTCCCTCCCCTATTGCTACACAACCGATTCCTATTTGAACAAGAGAGAAGTTTTTCCGGCCAGGACGTCGGTCCAAAGAACTATTTACCAGAACACCGGCAACGACAATAATAAATTAATTCAAAATAATAGTCCTTCTGCTCCTCCTCCTCATCTTCCACCACCACTTCATTCTCCTCTTCCACCACCACATCCTCATCTTTATTCTTCTTCATAACGAACGTTGGTCCAGTCTATGGTATCTATAGCAACGCCCCACTGGCGGCTTTGACGGGGCTCACATGGGAGGCGGAAAGCAACGTTGTGGTTACCCAAGATGCAGTGCGCCGCCTTCCGCCATGTACTTAAATGTGTTACAATCGCGCAAGCACGCTAGAGATCGCGAGAATTTCATGATTTAATTCGTGATTTTGCGTGACACAGCTCTGCTGCGAAGTGAGACATGATATTTCTACAACAAGTAAGCACTGTACTTCAATTAGGAGCAAAGATGGAGTCGTAAGGTTGAGTATTTCTGTTGTAATCGTGTGTAGACAAGCGAGCGTCGAGCGAATTCCTGGCGCACGCTTTCGCACCTGCTCGATATATATGTGTTAGTGTACGCGCAATGGCGGTGCCGTGCGCTTACAGTTGATATGCTTCAAGTGCCTGTGACTGTGAGCATGGTTAAATTGTCAAAAGATTCCCACAATGAAATGTCTACAAAAGGTAATAAACGATGAGCTAAATTAAGCATTTAAACTTTCTACTACTCCCTAGATGGAATTCGGTTGCTGATGGAGCATTCTCACTTTTTCCAGAATTGGGACCCATCAGTTAGAGAAGACATGGAAATGATGCTGAATAAAATAATTCCAGAGGTATGTATCGGTTTATCTTCATTTCTTTGTCAGTGATATGCACGCTATACCATCACCATGCCAACCATACAGCAACGGGAACAACGTCATGCAGGCAACCAATTGCCAACCGTGTTCCAACATTGCCCAAATGTCATATTGCCTGACAATCAGGTCCAACAGCTACAGGACATGCTATCTGGGTAAAACATATAGTCACCCCTTTTTGTTTAAAAAAACAATGTGAGAAAACTGAAACAAAATCAATACATGTGGTCAAAAGTCTTAATATTCTTGTTTTATTTGCAAATTTTGTTGACATAACAATAAAAGCATGTGAACGTAAACAAGAGTGCATGCACACGCATTAGCACTGCGCGCTCTACATGCAGCTCGCGTACACTTTTACGCTTCCCCTCTCGCATGGGTGAGCTACGTTTATCGTGACCTAAAACCCACCCTGGGTGACAGATGTTTGCGTGTTTTTCTGCTGCAGAATCTACCGTACAGGCACTCTTGCGAGGGACCTGATGACATGGTGAGTGACACACGAAATAACATCTCATTTAGATCACTTAGTTGAGTATCGTAGTGTGTGTGTGTATGCATATATATGAACTTAGCTACATGTGTGTATACGCATGTATGAGTTTAGCTACACGCGTGTATACGCATGTATGAGTCGAGCTTCACGTGTGTGTACGCATGTATGAGTCTAGCTACACGTGACGGTGTGTATATACGCATGTATGAGTCTAGCTACACGTGACGGTGTGTTTATACGCATGTATGAGTCTAGCTTCACGTGTGTATATACGCATGTATGAGTCTAGCTACACGTGACGGTGTGTATATACGCATGTATGAGTCTAGCTACACGTGACGGTGTGTATATACGCATGTATGAGTCTAGCTACATGTGTGTGTGCACATGTAGCTAGACTCATAGATGCGTATACATGCATGTAGCTGGACTCATACATGCGTATACACACATGTAGCTGGACTCATACATGCGTATACACACATGTAGCTGGACTCAT